CTCTCTCTCTCCCCCTCCCCATCTCGCTCTTCCTCTTGCTCCCTGCGCGCGCTCTGTCACTGTCCTTTCTCTCTCTGTCTATTTAAAGGCGGCTGAATTCAATAATGCGCCCGTGTATACGAAGACTGAATGAGGGCATTGTTGGTCCCTCGAACCAGTATACTCGCTCTCGCTCTCTTCTACTCTCCCTCTCCCTCTTGCTGCCTCCCGGTCCGCGCTCAATCTGTTTATCTCTCCATCTCTGAGTTCCTGTCCCCCTTCGTCTCCGTAAGGTGAACCAGAGACATACATGGGTCGTTCACGTATGCGGGAGTCCGCGTGTCGCGTTCCGCGAATCATTATTTCTCTTGGTTCTTGGTCGACGATACAATGTATCGAGAGGATAACGAGAAGATAATCCGCATGCGAGTTGAGTAGTATGCCGTAATTCTTTTTTCATTTTCACAGATCGTTCCCTCTCAACAAATTTTCCTACAAATATTCTCGAGATGAAATTAAAAAAAGAAAAAAATTACAGTTCGTGCGTCTGCAATTGATTTCTTACTTTATTATTACTATCATTACTTCACTATTTCTGGAGGATTTCCTCTAACAATTAACTGACTTGTCTTGAATCTTTAACACCTAGCTCGTTAATTTAACATGTTATTAACGTCTCGTAATGATACGTTTCTCCCATCCCCAACTAGAATTGCTTAGTTTAACGCCTTAAATCTTTAATCTTACATTTTCTTCATACGCAGTAATGTTAAACAATTATGTACCTCGAACAAAATCTGATAGAAACAGCGAAACGCTTTGAGCGGACGGGCGATCATGGTTTTCCTCTCCTCCCCGTTCCTCACGTTGATCACGAAATTGCCTAAAGCGTTGCAATAAGCCATAAAGATACCGTGGCGGATACCAGCGCGCCGATATATACGTGAACCCTTCCTTATAAAGATATGTGTATCCTGCATCGAGAATAATTATATAGACGCGCACGGTCCGTAAACCAGCAGATTCACCCGTACCCGTAGATGCACCCTCTCGATGCACTCCGTTCTTCTCCGTTTTCTTCCATCTTATCACGTTTCGCGCAACTCGCACGTTTATTGACGTCTCAACGATGCGCGCATATCTTTCACTTCGTCAGGAAAGCGTGACCGTGCGCGCGCCGGGACGAATGCGAATTAAGTTTCTTTCTCGATCGTCTTAGAGCACGATTCCGTTATCGATAAGAGACGTCTTGAAATTCTCGAGCCACCGTCGTACGTCACGCTCGAGTGGAAGATCGCGCGGAATACGGGAAAATTATCGAATGTTAGAGTTAAAATGAATGCACGGGGGGAAACAATTTTGCTGGACGTACGCAGATCTGGAAAATAATTTTGTTCGATCTATATTAACTATGGTAACTATATAGCTTTATTATCTATAATCTTTGTTTTAAAAGAACTTTAAACTTGCCGAAGAAGAATTTTGTTCGTCGGTTGACATATTATTTTGATTTGTTTGTAATAAATATTTATCTCTTATATTTGTTCTGCTCGTTTCGTTGGCTTTATTTATTTTGTTTTTCTGAAAAATAATTTTATCGAGCCATCAAAATAATTATGTAAGGCATTCAAATTAATTGCTAGAATAGAAAAAAATTTTGCAGTATTATCATCTATTTAAACATCTTAATAATTTTGATGGCGCCACAAAATTATTTTTCAAGTCTGTATCTGGCCAAACTTTTAGATAACTTCTACAGCAAAATTGTTCTTTCTGTGCATTTTTCTCACTCTCTCGTTCGATAAAACGGGCTAATAAAAGGTGTTAAACTCGCACGTTGACTGCATCCCATATGCGTAGAGGGTTCGAGGATTTATGAGATCGGCATATCGGCATCGTTGTTACACTAATAACTCTCAACGTCATTTCCAGCAGGTGACAATATCGAATGTAGACGCGTGTACGCGACGGTCGCAGTGATACCTGCCGTGCAGGTGCATCAGGTGCGAGACACCTGAGCACCACCGGCGTTTAACGGCGAGTGTCCTCGCCGGACTTTATCGATGTCGCGTCCGATCGAATTCAGACTCGATAAGACGACTTTTGTCTCCCGCTGATATCGAGGCGCGAAAATCGGAGTCGGAGAGATCCGCCAAAAATCAATCGAAGTGAGTAACGCGACTCGATCGATCGCGAGAGGCGTTTCGATTTTCCAAGAAGCTCCCGTTGCCGTCCGTTATTAAAGACGATTAAAAGGATATTATAAGGTAAACCGAAGTTCAACGTAATTGTATGATTACGCTAATTAAGCGAGGACCTGCCTATTTCCATGAGAAACGCTTGTAAATTTCAAGTACGTCGTAAATTACTGGTTTCTTCCAGACGCCGATATAAGTCCGCTGATACATATATTGAATAATAATTACATTAGGCAACGCATTGCGTATGCGCACGCGATACAGCATATGGAACGACGATGCAAAATGTTGTCGGTTTGTAAAAACGTGAAAATTGCAGA